GGTTACCAAGATATACACATGTAGCCATAACTGGGTGTGGCTACGCCTATTTTCCAAAAATTTATAATATTCTTATTTTTCGTCTTAAGCTTATTGTAAGTATCAATTTTGAGTGAATAATCTCCAGTAGTATCGCAGTTTTCGTATTTCTGAAAATTACCGTTATATGGGGGTTGGCCGTGGTTACAGTCCGATTTCGCCCATTTTCAATACCAACCTACCTTGGATAAATGGAAACCTTGAAATATCTCAATTTTTGCTCGAGTTATCGTGTACACGGACGGACGGACAGACGGATGGACAGACAGACATGGCTTAATTGATTTCTCTTTTCATTCTGATCATTTATGTATACATTTGTCAGTATCTATCTCGATTCGTTTTGGCTGTTACAAACAACCGTTATGTGAACAAAATTAATATACCCTTGTGCACAAGTGCGCTCGGGTATAAATATTATCGTCACAAACTTGATTAAACCCGCTTTCTTCTGATATACAATTCATATACTTCGTATGTATAAATCTGAGAAAAAACATTTAAAAGGAAAAAATACCTTTTTTTTATAAAAAGTAATATTTTAAATAAAAACGTCATACGGCTTCACTAGTAGTTCATAAAATATAAAAATGTTATTTATTTTAACATGAGTGTACACATCATTGTACACAGGAGCCAATAAATTATTTTATATTTATGACATTTTTGAATAGCAATAATGAGATCATTCCCATTTTCAGTGTTTAAGTAGTCAAAGAATTCTATACATTTCATTTTAAAATAACTTTTAGTTTGAAGTTCACTTTCAAAAATTTTAATTAGAAGCCGGTTTCTCTATTTGAGTCAGGAAACACACTTTATTCTTAAGATCCTCTCAGTTGCCTCGTTTGAACAAAATTACACATTTTTTTCAAATGTGGAAAAGTACCACTATTTAAGGACTTCATATATAATTCCTCATAGCTTAAATTATTGTTTTCAACCACGCAAAAACTTTGAAACACTAAGAATTCGCTGAAAAGAGGATCTAACTCTATGTCTTGTATGCAAAACTCTTTTACAGAGTCAGTAAATTGTGAAAAAAGAATTGTACGTTATAGGAAAAAGCAATTCGAATATTAAAATTTTTTATTATTAAACTTAAGCTCCATCGTATTATCGTAACTGGCACGTAAATGACCCGACAATATGTCATAAAACGATTGATCTTTTTGTTGTATTAATTTCTTTGGCACATCAAACATTATCTGAAGCATGTCAACTATAATTAAATTATTTCCTTCTTATTTTTTATAGTACAGTTTAGGAAGTGAAGGAATTGAAGAAATGAATAAAATCAGTACAAGAGTTGAAAAATCAGTACTGTACTGAGCAAATCTGTACGTCTGGCAACCGTACTTATAAACCGTAAACCGTAAATCTGAAATTTCCACTTCTTGAGGCTTATACTTACGTATCAATCATATAAGTTTTATTTTACTTTCAACTTCACCCCACTCACAACTGTACATTTCCGTTATATATACTCAAAGATGGCATTCGTCACTATCATAATATACAGTATTGGACATATCTATAGCACCTACCTTTCAAAGCGATATTGTTTGCCACTTATTATTAGTTATTTGTTTTTAAGAATTTTCAATCAAAATACAGTTCATTCTCTAACAAAACCCATATAAACCCATGTTTTAAACTTTTTAAAAGACCGCAAAAAAGCGCAACAAACTTTCCCTTAAATTTCAAACATTTTTCTCAGAAGCTCTAGAATTTTTTTGAGTACACAGTTTTATAGCGCATTCAATTTTACTCCAATAATGTGCAAGTTTCAAGTCGCTTAAGATTACCGTTGATTTTTTAGAATTTTTTTTAGTCTCTCACGACTAAACAAACACAATTTATTTTTATATGGCAGAAACCCGCAACATCCTCGGCGAAAAAATTCTAAAAAATCAACGGTAATTTTTAGCCACTTGAAACTTGCACATTATTCGACTAAAATTGAATGGGCTATAAAACTGTGTATTCAAAAAAATTCGACCGCTTCTGAGAAAAAAGTTTGAAATTTGGGTGAAAATTTGTTGCACTTTTTTGCGGACTTTTAAAAAGTTTTAAACTTGAGTTTATGTGAGTTTTGTCAGAGAATGAACTGTATTTTAATTGAAAATTCTTAAAAATAAATAAATAAACATGAGTGGCAAACAATATGGCTTTGAAATGGGGGTGCTATTGTACAGAATGCCTTACTTGTCTTACATTTTAATGTTAGCGGTGTTAATCTTAAGTAATTCTGTTAATTTGTTTGCAAGAAAATGAATAAATAATAATAATAATAATAATAAAACTGTGTGCGTACACAAAGCGACCTGCAAAAAATTGTGCGACTAATCTCTAAAGGAATTACTGTCAATCGG